TTTTGTATTAATGACTAAAAAAAAAAGACTTCGATTTTCACAATTTTACAACAATTTACTGGGATACGAAGTCAAGGATGTTATAATAATAAAATTGCTAGATATTTTTGGAAACAAAATTCTACTAGGTTAAAATGTTGAAATTGATATTAATAAAATTAGTTTGAAGTACGAAATCCTAACAGCCTGTAATAGTTTAATTGCAACCGTAAGAAATTGCAATGTTTTAAACAATTCTTATGTTCAAAGTTAATTGCATGCACTTGTAATATTTTATTCATAATTTGGTCAATTTAGTTTTCAAAATAGAGCTGTTTTAAAGATTTTATAATGAGCTGAAACATTGCGTCCATTACACAACTAATAAAAATGATATTCCTAAATTATATTATTTTTCATTATCCCTAAATCAGAAAAAAAATGTCGTGAATAAAGCCCAAAGGAAAGACTATACTATTGTATTGTTGGTTTGAATTGAACATACTATTGTTGTCACTGATGTTTTGAGCGTTCAACTTTACGTAACATATTATTTTGTTGCGCAAAAACCATAAATTTTAGAGGCTAGAAACTTCTATGTTGTATAGAAAAATGATCTGGAAGTAAGATGGAAGAAAAAAACCATGCTATAAACATACGACAATTCGTTTCAGAAATGTGAACAGTTTACCTTGCTTTAAAAAATACGATGAAGGCTCTTCCGCAATTGAATGATTTTTATGCCATATTCTAAGGTATCATTATTGAAAATACCAAATTTCACCCCGTTTACAAATTACTACTGCATATTTCAAAACCATATTTTATTATTAGTTTTACCCAAATCGTTACCAAAGCGCTTCGATAAAAACTACAAATCTTTTTTGTGCTTTCACATTGCCAGAAACACGGCAAAGTTTCCCATATTCTGGTAGTTTTGACTCAAATTTTTTTCTCAGTGCGTAATTATATAACCCACGTTAATCTTAGTTTCTTCTTATCATTAGTTTCTTCGTTTCACAATCTGCATTCATAATTTTAAATTTTTCATATCCAAATTTTTACGATTAACATATTGTTGGAACATAAATTTATAATAATTATGTATCTTACGAACGAAATCTTCTTTGTTTTTTCACCTTTAAATGTTGATATTCGAGGAAAAAAAACAATGAATGACCTGTAATAACGTTGTTCCGTGAGTGGAGCGAGTAGGGGTGGAGTCTCCTAACCCTTAAAAAATGTTAGCGCTTGTAAACAAAGATAAAAATGTAAAGATAGAAACAACAATTTTAAAAGACAACGATTTCTTGATTCATGTTTCACAACTAATGCACTAAGTTATATAAGGAACAGAAAAGTCCAATCCAATGTAATGTAATGTAATGTAATGTAATCCAATGTAATGTAATGTAATGTAATCCAATGTAATGTAATCCAATGTAATGTAATGTAATCCAATGTAATGTAATCCAATGCAATGCAATGCAATGTAATCCAATGTAATGTAATCCAATGTAATGTAATGTAATCCAATGTAATGTAATCCAATGCAATGCAATGCAATGTAATGTAATATAAATTAAATTAGAAAAATTATTATTATAATTATAAATTATTAAAATAATTAATATAGAAAAATTATTGCAATTCCTTTCTTTAGTAGTTTACATTTTTAAAAACGTCAAAACTTGTAAATTTTTTCTGTCCGAAAAAGTCGAATAGAAATGCTTTCTTAAAATTAAATAGTAATTATGAATACTTAAATATGTTTAACACCATACGAAAAATAATATGAGATAATTTCATTTTCTAAAATAACACGAAGTCCTGCGATCACTTTATAAATTCTTATATTAAATGAGGTGTAATTTCAAATATATTTTATGTCTAAAGTAAAAGTTCTCAAACTGTGCCCTGCAGAGCATTTACAAGGAAAGTTCAGGACTTCAAATATTCATTTTGAATAGAACTTGGTATATTAGTATAACTAAATAGTAGAATCTTCTTCAAATAATAAGGCTCACTAGCAAGCTATTTCAGAGAAAAAAGTGTCTGAAATTTTAAGCACTCTTTCATAACTAGTAAAACCATTACAAGGCTGCGGTGACAAACCTACATGACTACGAGACACTTGGGGATCGATTCGCGTCGTCGATTGCTTCAATTTCTTTTTATCTTACAATTTTTTACTTACCTTTTCTCTTTTCAAATGGGATTACTTTAACTAGAAATTTATATCAGTTATAGTATTTTTTAGTTTTTAGATATTTCTTGTCACTCAAATTGCGGTATCTGCTTAACCATTCAATGACATAGTAAAGATTAAAATAATAATGGTTAAAATAATAATATTTAAAAATAAAACTAGTAACAGTTAAAAAGTAAAATCGTTCAATCAATTAATATGAATATATATTTTGTGTAATGAACAATAATTTGGATGAATGTAACAAAACAGAATTTGGATATGAAAAAATTTATTTGGCATTTTGCATAGATAATAAAATATAAAAATGTATACACTCTATCAATCGTAAGTTAATCTACGAAAAATATACTTCATAAACGTATAAAAAGGTTTCTCAATTTTCTGCATTTTTATCAATCACATTACGCTTTATTAAATTTTTTATCCTTTTTTTAAAAAATCAATGATGCAAATTGATAAACTGTTGTATGGTATTTTAAATTTCAATTTTAACGAGAATTTATTTCTCAATTTCGTTCGATTAACCATGCAGAACTATTAAAATATTTATTTGTTTTTTTACCTCTGTACTAATAAGACAAGTCACAGGATTGTGTGTAATGGGTACATTTCAGGGCAGATACTTCAAAAGTATTTTTTATTGATTGTTATAAATACTGTTCACAAATATTATTATTACAACCATTAGCATTTTATTGAAAGACTTTTACTGTAGTTTAAGCGTCAAATAATATCCAATAACTAAAAAAATACAATCAATAAAATGAAATAGCTTATATCTAAAAGAAATCGCTACTAAAAAGTAAGAAAATAATGTCATTTAAACTCCAAATAGCATTTAAGAATTAAAAAATGCAATAAGTAAGATAAACTTATATTTTGATTAATACTACATGTGAAGAGAAAAAATCTTTATTGTGAAAACATTTTTAAAAAAAAAAAATCTTCATTAAATAAAGTGAAGGAAAAATGAAATAAAGTGATTGACTGCGCGATTTAAACCCCTAAGCACCCCACAGTCAGGTATACTCTACCACTAGGCCACTGCGTTAATGGCGATGAGAAGATTTAACTAATGTGTAAAGCGTGCTTAATTTTCTCTCTTTGACTGGCTAGTGCGCTTTACTATTTTAAAGAGTAAGCACTCTTAAAGCTTACTACTAATTTACAAAGCTTGATCTCAAAGGTTTTGATCTAAGTCTTGTCCTCTCTTTTTATGTGATTTTCATTAAAAATTTCCCAATGTTCTCTGGAAAGGTAAGACAAGTTTAAAATTAAAAAAAAATTATATGAGTTTAATATTAAACAATTAAAAATTAGAAATATATTTTAATGTTACGATCATTAACGCTTTCGTTGTGTAATGAGAAAATATGAGTATCAATTGTTATCACTGTTCAGACAAAAGTTTGACGGTATCAGCAGGAAGTCAGCAATCAACCATTTACTGACTCATTTCTTCCAGCAAATGTTATGTGCTATGCGGCAAAACAAATGCTATGTATGTGTTATACGACAAGGCAAATTACCCCCTAAAGGCAAATCATAAAACACTATCCTTACGTTAGCCCTATGTACAAATCGGAACCACTTTTTCATTAAATTTCATTAATTAGAATTTTCATTCTAAAGTTATTGTAAGAAAACTGGCAGAAGTCTGTTCATCCAATTTACGGTAAAGAAAATGTTTTACCTTTACGGTTTGAAACTGTTTACAACACAACTAGTAAAGTTAAAAGGCCATGAATGCAAAACTAAGCGGTTTTTTAACCATTTACAACTAGCAAGCTTTCAAAACTGCAGAGAAATTTAATTGGTCATTAAAGATAGCTTAACAGCTTTATGTTGCTGTCATCTATGCGTGAATGCGAGAATCACATTCTAATAGTCCAGGATCACAAATTGCGATGTGCTAGCTCAAAAATTTACATGTGCTGACGGGAAAAGAGGAAATATTGGGGAGTCGAACATCCGTTCCGTCGGTCATGAGATTGACAGATTAGCCCTTTCGCCTTTAATATGTACTCAGCTGCAAGAAACTAAGTGGTTTAATTAGGTGGGCCTTGTTGGTGCGATCAATTTCTGGTTGTTTAACCGTATAAGGTGAAGCCAGTTAATAAACGGATTTTCTCACAGTTAACAGCTTGAATACCATCTTATTTATGGTTATTTGACTGTTGTTTTTAAAATATGGTAAAACATTAAATAAATTGTTATTTAATAATTTTTTTTCCTAGAAATTTCCAACAGTGTTGTAAAAACAGTGTTGTTACAAAATTTGTAACAAGTGTAATGGTGATAAAATAAGAAATAAAGAAATTGGGGATTCACAATATTTGCATTATTTTTTTACCATCAATGTTGCATTATCTGCTATGGGAAATCAACCTAAATATATAAGTCTACTCATGTCTACTCATTCTCAAAAACGGTAAAGCATTACTCATTGCAAGATTACTCATTGTGATTACTCATTGCATGCTTATATGACTAACACAACGACCAAATAACATATTTAATACTATTTTATAACTCACTATACTAAATGTTGTATTTATATTTCTGATAAAATTAAATGCTCCGCGTTGAATTCTCAATTTTAAAAGTGCATCGTGATTAAAAAAAGTTTGAGAACTTCTGGCTTAAAGTATTTACACATATTTCAAAACGAGTTAAGATTTTTGTTGAATTTTTATTCTTAACTAAATGGAAGTCATGAATGTAAGAGATCCCATTGGGTTTAAACAAGTCACGTGCTTTTATCCAAGAACCAATCACTGCCCTTTCATCCTGCTGAATGATTTTTCCAACAACACAGCTATGACATTCACTCACCGGACTTCAAGAAGTGCGTTAGATCTTTTAAGTTTAGAATCTATTATAGAAACTAACTGCATAGAATTTGGATACAGAGTTTTTGAAAATTTATCGAAAAGAAAAATTATCCTTTTTAAATTGTAAGTGAAAAAAAGGCTTATTATATATTTTTAGTATATAAGTTTATATAATTCAAAAAAACTGCATATTTTCACATTTATTAGTTAGTTATTAACTATTTGGAGTATATAAGAAGTTATCGCCAGAATTTCAAGCACTAATTTATATTCAATTACTTTGTTACGTATATACTTATAAGAGCCTTATTTATAGATAAAACATTATTTTATTTTCCGATTAATTTCTTAGGAATATTGATATTAGTTTTTTAGTTGTGAGAAAGTATTAATTTTGTATTAGTTAAAAATTTATAAATATTTAAAAGCAACTTTATTACCAGAGTGTTTAACGCTACTTTTTTTAAACAACTTTCTTTAAAAAAATGTTTTATTATTGTGTTTTTGAACAACTTTTTAGAAGTGATGATTTATATAGAGGTTTCATTATTTCGATAACAAAGTATTTAATAATATTATATTTTGTTGTATAATTAGACAACATAGATGTATATACTTTTACTAATTAAAAATCACTAAAAATTAGTTAAAAGTTTTACTTTCTTTCTAAAATGATATTTGGTCGTTTGTGTTTGACTTAATTATGTTTGTAATTGAATTTAATATCTCCAATTAAAATTTTAAATAAAATAATTTTATTCCTTAAAGTGAGGAAAAAATGGAATAAAATATTAAATATAATATTAATGAATGGAAATAAAAATATTAATTTTATCTATTTAAATGGAATAAAATATTAATTTTATCTCTGAAAAAATTAAGAATTGTCCTAAGTACTTGAAATTCCATTATTGTGTTAATGAAATTGCTTTTTGTAAAAGGAAAAACTGTTTGACGAATATAATTTGAATATTTGGAAATATAATTTGAATATTTGGAAATACAATTTGAATATTTGAAAATATAATTTGAGAATTTGGAAATATAATATAATTTGAGAATTTGGAAATATAATTAATGAGTTACCCTTACACACTTATTCTTTATAATATAATTAAATATCAATTTTAATTCTATTTTTTTTGTCTGAAACTCATTACGTATATGATTCAAATAATTTCGTTTTCGAATTCTGCATTTTGAGTTAATCACAAAATGGAAGTAATTAAAAAGTTTATTAAGAAAATTTATAAAGTAGAAAATTATAAAGTAAAAATTATAAAGTAGTTATTTAATTCAAAAGTAAGTGGATTTGTGATTATCACAAAATGGAAGTTATTAAAAAATTTATTAAAAACAAAGTAATTATTTAATTTAAAAGGAAAAAAGTACTCTTTTCAATAACTTTAAAAATAGCTCAGTGAATTTTATCATATTTTTCTGCATAATAAACAAAACATTTGTGATTATGTGAAATATTTATTTTAGTTATCAGTAATATTGTGTATATTTTTTTTCGAAATATCTTGTACCCTTTAAAAAATTCTTATTTTAACCTTTTTAGATTATTCTTTATATAATTTATGTTAGATTTCGTGTATAAAATATGGGATATTTCTTATGTATAGTTTATAATGCATATATGTAATTGCATATATTTCGTAAAAAATAAAATTGAATAAATTTTATACATGCAAAGCAGAACAGTTTTAAAGGTATCAAGATAGAATATTCATATTATGAAATTCAGATCTGAGTGGTACATTATTATTATTATTACAGTAAAATTTAAAATTTTATTAACAATTGTTATATTCAATTAAATTTTGAAATGTAGTAAAATATTCACACTTCTTATGTTTTTAAAATTATTTTAAGCTTCTTAATTAGCTTTAATTATTCACGCTTAATATGAGTAAGCACCTCACTAATTACTTGTTTTGAGTATGTTTTAAGATCGCATTTGCATTTCTCTTTCAATAGCTGGTTGCTAATGTTGCTAATGAGGACGAGCTTAATTAAATTGGAAGAAAGTTTGAGTTCAGCGACTATGCATAACTTTCAGTGTTGAAATAAAAAATTATAAATGATGTTTTGAAAAAATTTGATAATAATCCAGATTATTAAACTATTTGGAAAAGTAAGATGGTTAAGTTACAGAATTAGACATAAGGACATACTTTCTTCAAATAAACATATTTTCTTCAAAGATTCGAATTTTCGACCATCAAAACATGGAAGTTGCCGCAATCTGAAAAATTGCTTCAACAATTTGAGAGCGTGGTCGAAAGATTGGATAGGTTAATTTTATTTTTACTTTTTGCGTAAATCTCGAGAACTTTTTAAGCAAATTGAAAAATTTTTGCACGCAATTGCTAAATTCGTTTATCTAAAGATGACTTTTAGCAAATATTTATTTATTATTATTTTATTTAAAGTGAGTAGAAAAGGTTTTGAATTATAAGGTAGATAAATTTTTGAATCATTCTTTAAGTATACAATTTTATTATTAAATGTTTATTATTTTATTTAATAAAAGCTGAAAAAATTTTGAAATAAAATTAAAAAAAAATTAGCACTAATGGGTCTAAATTTTGGAGTGCTTTACTAACCGAACAAATGGGACCATATATCCCTGATTGTATTTTCTCATATTATTTGGGGGTCAGAAATCCGAATCCCTCAAAAAATAAGTTTGCTTTTACTCAGAAAAAGTAAGTTTTGTGTCCGATTTCGTAACTAAAAGTATCACCTGCGCTAATTAATTAGCTTATTGAGGTCCCCTCCTTGAACCTTTAAGGTTGATTGATTAAAGATGATAAATAAAGATTGGATCATTAAATCAAAAGTTATTCGTGGTACTCGTTTTTTTTATTGTACTTTAAATTTAATTTTACATGAAAAAGTACTTCGGTAAAAAATTAGCGAGCTTTTTGGTATTCCTGTACATTCGGAAAGAAAATCAATATTGTGGAATAATTTTAAAAGCATTTTGAAATATATAAATTCCTTTAATGTATTTTTAAGTTCTGTAATGGGAGAAAAACATATATTACATGTGTTACTTAACATTTTAAAAGCACTGGTGAAAAGTAAAATGAACTTCTGAAACATATTTTATATGTTTGCATGAGAGATTTGTAATAGATTTCAGGAATGATAAAATGGTGAATATGAATAATATTTATTTTTCCATTAAAGTTGAATTAAATATGTTCCCATTTTTTTGCGTATATTGTTTTACGTTGTATTTTATTAAAGTTTGTAAAATTAGATATAATTTTACGAAAGAACTATTACACTATTTCACAGAAAAAAATAATCACGGAAATGTAAAAAAAAGTCTCTCAGACTAATTTAAAATGCACAGAAGTTTTTAACTTCGTTAGCTTCGTAAAACGTAAAAATGAAATTTCCCCGTAAAATTTTTAGTAGCTTTTCTGAAATGTCTCTTAAAGAATACGAAAAAAATATGATTAATATTGTAAAAGCTATCTGAAATCATATTTTTATTGATAGGCGAGATAATTTGTTTTCTACAGCGTGTTTTGAAAACCCCAGAATGCAAAGTAATGGATACCATTGTCATTATTATGCTATTTTATAATGAATTTTGGCTTAAAAAGAAATGTAAATCCCATTTTTTCAGCTAAGTTACAAATTTTCTAAGTAAATTGGTTGTTAATACATCCCTCGACTTTTTCGCATTTTTATTAATTGACTTTTTTGTCGATTCTTCCAATGGCACTTATTTTCGAGAATTATATAATTTCCATTAATTCGAGAATTATATATATTAACACAGGGTTTAGTTGATGATGTCTCTCTGGTAAAAAGTGTTGTTGCTGTTATTGTAGTTAATTTACGTCGCACTACAGCTGCACGATGGGCTATTGGCGACTGTCTGGGAAACCCCCCTGAGGATAATCCGAAGACATGCCATCACATTTTTGATCCTCTGCAGAGGGGATGGCACCCCCGCTTCGGTAGCTCGACGACCTGCACGCGAAGTCGAGCACTTTACGGTAGAACAGTTTAACGAGGACCAATACCGCACACCCTCGGTCCCTACGCAGACTGATCCAAGTGGTCACTCACCCGCACACTGACCGCGGCTGACTTCGGTGATCTGCAGGGAACCGTGTCTTAATGATCAGTCCACTGCAGGACTGGTAAAAAGTGAGTTTATCAGATAATTACCGGTTAAAGCTGGTTAAATACGCCATCAAAGAATAAAGATTCTGATGCTCAGTTATAATTTGACGCATTATCAGCTTTTATTTGACGCATACATTTCCATACCTTATTTCTATACATTTCCCATAATCACTGCGAAAAACATGCATATCTTTCAAAACTTAAAATATTATTAGCATCATGATGTCCATAATATCAATCACAACCTTTTTCAGATATCCAATTGATATTTTTTCAATACATTTATGTCACCTCTATGAATAATGGCTTTTCAGAAGTTTAGTAAGCAGTTTTAGTTTCTGTTTTAGACTTTACTTTAGTAGCGTTATTTATTTTATTAACTTACTTGTTTTTTCAGCTAGCTTGCTTACTTTACTTACTCACTTAATTAAGTAACTCACTTAATTTAGTAACTTACTTAATTTAGTAACATAATTACTCTACTTAATATTTCAAGTACTACTTCAATTTTTCAGTTAGTGATTAATATTACATTCTGTTTCAAATATTATAATATAGCTTAATTTAGTTTTTTGAATGCCTTTAAGATTTTCTTTTATAGTTTTTAGCATTGTTTCACCTAGAAACCAAAAATATTATTGGTTGGGGAGAGGGAGACAGGGACTAACTGAAACCCTTTTAGTTCTAATCTTCTTTAAAAATAAAGTACAGAATGACTGAAACACTAGAAAAAACATTTATGGGAATTTAAAGAAATATTTCGTTCTAAACGTAAGCAGTTTATTGAAACTTAGAACTATATTGAAAAGATTAAATCCCTATCTTTTTCTATGCGCTGAATCAAGAAAGACTAGATTTAAGGCTTATCCTTAATACTTTTATTCTTATGCAACAAATTTTAAACCCACTTCAGTTTTGATATTTGTTAAGAAAAATTGAAGGAAAATATAAAGTTTTATAAAGAA